ACCATACAATATCTGCTTTGCCTGTGGTTAGGAAGCATAGTTTATCTGCTTTTATCTTTATTGAGTCCACATGATTTTGAACTTGCAGCTCAGGTCTACAGAGATCTAAGTCATTTTTCCCTTTGAATTGTTCACAGCTTATATAGTCTTCTTTAGTAGGCTGGCTTATATCCAATTAAATTTATCTTTGCCATTTGGGGACAATAATATTTTCCAAGAGCTTCCCACTTGTAGCTATTGTCTCCAGCTTTAGATTTCCTGGAGACACATGCGGTCTATAGTAATCTGTTTACTGGCGTGGATTTGTACACTTTTTTTTTAAGTCTATGAGTCTTGTTTTTAGGAAGTAATTGTAGTACTGTATTGGGGGAGCGGGAGGGAGGAATCAGCTTTAGAACATCTGACAGGCCAAATCCATTAGGCATCAGAAGTCTGAGCTTATTTAGCATAAACAAATCACATATCTATGAAGCTGCCTGAAGATACATCGACCAACAAAATGATTTACACTCACTTTTAATGCATTTGCAGACAGATCGGGAATGCATACAATTCTGAAAATGCTACTTTCCCAAATCCGTGAGCCAAAGTAAATTGTGATCAGCCGCCTGTACTAGGTAAAGATGCAATGTATAAATAATGCATCAAATAGCTTGAGATCACAATTCCTTTTAAACGCTTGGAATGCTGCAGTAAGTGGCTATGGCTAAAATGGTAAGTCAAACCAGTATAAATAATATTTTATTTTCTCTTTTCCAGTCAGTGGATTCCATACCCCATGACTCCAACAAAGAGCTCTCTATGATGACAAGTGCAGAAAAGTTTTATCCAGTGATAACTGGAATATTGATACGATTTTACACTGCATAAAATAAATTAATTTTGGGGGAGGAGGGAAAGGAAAATCAGAATTTCCCAGTGGAAAAAATGGATGGTTTATTGAGAATAGCTCAAGTACTGGGTTATCCTAAATCAAAATATGACTTAAGAAGTTTATATCTATAAACTAAGCAACTTTCACAACCAAAAAGTTTTATTTCGCTACAGTTCTTAGGTTTGGCTCGTTCAGTCAAAACTACCCGGAGTTTACTTAAAGTTCATTTTAGCAACAAAGAACACAACAAGTCTTGTGAAATGCCTATTTGCCTGTTGAAAACACTGTTAAATGTGCAAGTGTAGTCTTTATGTCAGGCAAATTAGTAGTCAGTCAAGGCAAAATGTGTTGGGTTTTTAAACACTTAATTCTTGCAATGGAATCGAATTGCATTTAGATGCTTGTCTGCAACAAATAGCCCGCTAGCTAGGGAAAAGGAGGTGAACGCTTCGCGCTCTCTGCTGCGTTTTCCTTTACTATGCTGATGTGAGGAAACAAAATACACTACCAATATTGCCTCTAAGGAGGCAGTTCAGTTCATTGTAACCTCAAGATAGTATTCGAGCAACTTCCCTTAGAAAAATTAACGTATTTCCTCTCCTCCCCCACCCCTTAGGTTATCTGTATGTGTATTTTATTTTATTTTATTGCAGACTTGGTTGTGAAATGAACTCGATTAAAGTTCAGGGTCCCTACAGTTGATTACCCTTAAACTCATTTGACGTTTTTTTTTAAGGGAACCAGAAGGAATGCGAGTCTGCAGTCTTCATTCTGGCTTTTATGGTAGTCACTTTGGTGGTCAAATTCAAGTGCTATGACTCCACAGCTGTCTCTTCTGTGTTTCCTTGCAGGAAGCCGGCAAATCCTGCCCTTTAAACTGGGTTTAAAAAACAAAATGGCAACAGGACTGGTTTTAGAGATATTTACCTACTAAGAGCAATAAATTATTCACACACCTATAGGAAGGAGCTCATGTGTTATACCACACATACGTTTTAGCGACGACACTTAGGACTTTTTCTCTCCCCCCACGCCCACGAATGTCTTCTTTTTATTCAAATAAAATGGAGAAGAAATAATCTCTAAACGTAATGTCTAAACCCCGAAGATGAAATCTGTATTTTTACTTTTCCATTTCAACGTTCGATTCTGCCCCATGCAGGTTGCAAAGAGGAGGGAATTGGAAGAAAAATAATTGCACTCATAAACAATAGCTTAACATTATTAGTTTGTACTTAGTATTAATATTGGTCCATAAAAAGATCACTGACACTTTAATTAAAAGTTTTGCCCAAAATGACACCTAAGACATAAAATGGGGGCAGATTACAAAACCAAGACACATATCTCGACCTCATGAGTTCTTTACTTTGTATTTATCAGCTAAGGGTGCATTAGAGAAAAAAATACATCTCATTCTGAGATTATAGACCTATTTATATATATATATATATATATATATATATATATATATATATATATATATATATATATATATATATATATATATA